TTGGAATGTGAAGACTCTATCGTCGACAATACCGTGATCAAATTGAATTCTCCAAATCTAGTAGATGTAGTAATATAGATAATGTCCATTAAAATTTGATCAAGTCTCAAAAATCGTTGACAGTTATACCCGACCAGAGTAGTAGGTACTATTGGAGCAAGTTTTACAGCTTTTTATTCACTAGATTAATATTTTTTACATTTTCTATTTTCAGTGAAATAGTCGGTAAATACTAATATGCCATATATATCATCAGTTATGGCACAACTTTCGAAATGGAGTGATTTTGCAAATGTCGAAATTTGGACATTTTGCCCGTGAGGTGCAAAGACACGCGCAAAGTCGAAATTTCGATTCTAGAATTTCCTTGTGACAATGTTCCACAGGGAAAATGTTTCCACACGCCGTTGAGAGTCACATGAGCAAGCAGGACGAAGCCATAAGGCGCAAGAAGACGGCGTTTCGCTTCTCTGTGTCAGCAGACATTGACCTCCTCAATGAGGTTGTGATGATTGCCCCTTTCGAGGCAGCCTACGGTCAAACTGGTGCTCGATGGGAAGAGATTTGCGAGCACATGCGAGTGAGCCACGGCGACACCTTGACCACAGCCAGCTACAGAAAACGATTCGACGATTTGCTTTCGGCCCTTGAAGTGGACGTAAGCTCTTCCATTAATCCAGCAACTAGAGGGAGCACAACGAGTCCATCGCTCATAGGGATGATGGGAAAATTCACGATTACAGCATTGTCGAATTTCCGGGTGAAGTGTCCAGAAAAGTCAACGAGGAATTCCTCGTTTGCAAAATCACTCTAATATCTCGCCATAATTCCAATATATTGCACTATATGATCAAGATGTTGCAAAGTGCATCGGAGGTCTATTACAGTTCCTCAAACGGTAAATGCTGATGTTATCGGGATATGATTATTAAACGGATGGAATTATACAGGACTTGTCTTGTTCATTGCGATCCAGCAGTGCACCAGAGTCCCATTGCATTCCTGAATGGTGCTTGAATTCCCAATAGTAGCTGCAACATTTTAATAAAAGTGGAGTAGTATATCCTGTGTTCAATACAAACTTTAAGACATATTTCACAACTGGTGCAAACTTTAATCAAGTCCAAGTTTTTGGCCTCTTTCGAGAACAGAGCTGTTGTGAATTTCTTTCGAAGATTTTAATGAATTTACGTATGCAAGTTGCGACAAAAGTGCATCGCCATAGGCTGCATGACAAGGCTGAGCCCAAAACAAATTGTCAGTCTGCGACGTAGACCCGAGAAGTAAGATCATTTTATATATTTTCAAAGATACAATTTCCATGTTTTTGTAAACGATTAATATTTGCATAGAATTGTAATCATACGCTGACACGCCGCGACTTAAACGCTCTCAAAGCTCACAATGAGATTAACCACTGCTCTATGCATTCGAACCCTTACGACGTGCCCATAGTGTATCAATCGAAGATGTGTATGCGTTGACTTGTAAGACTTGTGAACTCTTTCGTGACGAAATTGCGTGATGTGAAACTCACTTCCATTTTGAAGTGAATAAAGTTCGAGGAAGCCTCAAAATTCAATAATCACGAACCTTCAAAATCCTCGGACCAATCCGAATCCAGAATTCTACGCGACGTGAACCGGTGCATCCTGTCTCTCGCAGCAATCGACCTGGCGTAACCAGAAATGGCGACGGCTGTTGGCCACTGGGCCTTGAGCCCCAGCTTGCTTGCCCTCATCGCCCACATCCAGATTGACTAGCACGACAATATAACGCACGATGCCGCCCATCGTCGCAAATCTCCTACGCGTCGGCGCCGAGATCGTGATGAAGCGACGCCGAGCGCACCTCTCCTTTTCCAGACGTTTCCTCCGCATAGGGGGATACAAGTGGGCATATCTGGACACTGCCCACAAGTCGACTCGCAATGTCCTCCCGTACTTCCACGCGTCGTCCAAGCAGGGACCGGCGACGTCAATCCAACCGATCGTTGTCCTCGTCCACGGCTTCTCCTCCGACAAAGATGCATGGCTCCCCATCGCAAAGTACCTCGTCAACATGGGCTACCGAGTGATCATTCCCGACCTGCCCGGCCACGGCGCCCATCTGCCCAACTCACAACTACGGAGTCGACGCCCAAGTGGGCAATCTCCTCGCGTTTCTCTCGGCGGTTTTAGGAACCCAAGCAACGACAAATAAGTTTCTGAGCTACCACACGACCCCATCCGTGCATTTGGTGGGGTATTCGATGGGTGGCCTCATAGCGGGGCTGTTTGCAGCGACATTTCCCCATTTGGTGCGCACGTTGACCCTGTTGTGTCCAGCGGGTATTTCGATGCCAAGGCCAAGCCCCGTTGTGTCGCTCTTCGACACGACCGGCCGCCGACTCATGGAAGCCTCCACCGCGGACGAGATGAACGACTTGCTGCGCTATTCCCAGGGGCCGACACTGAAGCGACAGTACTCCCGAGTCATGGTGCATGCTTACGCCAAGATCCAAGCGGCCAGAAAAGACATTGTGGGTAAGATATTTGACGACCTCGAGCCCGAGCGATCGACTCTCGAAGACAACTTGCACCGCGTGGAAGCGGACACGCTCGTGTTATGGGGCAAACACGACCAAATCCTCGACGTCAGTTGCGCTTACCAGGTCCGAAGGAAGGGATTCCGAACCATTATCGTCGACGGGTGCGGCCACGATATCACACAAGTACGGCCCCAATTGTGCGCCACTCACGTCATCCGCATGATCCAGCGGTATTCCAAGCGCAGCAACGACCCGAAGATGTCTCAAACCCAAATAACGTACACCAGCCTCGACTCTCTCGGACGATCAACGCTGACGTTTGGGAGTGCCAGGCGACGGCCCCGACGGTTCAGCTCATCGATTCGAACGCGTGGGTGACCACAACGAAAGATTCTTTTTTACGTTTTTACTTCCCCACGAGCTTTGCACGGTCAGTCCATGCTCCGTCCCCCGAGAGGAATGTTCCATCTGCATGTGCATGTCGAATCAACAATCTACTGAGATTCACACGTTGTCCGTGTCGAGCATATTCAAGTTCTCTTACACGAAGGTACCAATCTCAAAAGCATGCAAGCCAACGGCGCGGTGTTGGGGCCTTCGACTCGCGAGGGATTCACGTCCGAGTGAAAGTGCTTGCCATGTCAACATCATTGTCGGTTCGACGTGAGCTGCATCTCCACGTCAAAATATATCGGAATACTACTAGTAATACTACACGTAACAATTAGTGTATGGAGCGAAGTGACTGCAAACGTCCAATATCGTCGCCCTCGCTCTCACTTCGTTCGTTCGACCCTCGAGTTCGCATGCCTTTGCCTTGTCCATGTTCTCTGTGCCACCATGACGTCAGTGGCAATGTTTGCGGATCAGCGGCAGCGCTGTTATACAACGATGTGATTGAGCTCGAGGATGAATAGGACGTTGACAAGGCCAAAGAAATTCAGCAGGAGGAGGTAGAGAGAAGCTGAAAGTGCAACCTTGAGCAGTCAGGGCACACAGTCCATCCTGGAACCCCACCGGTTCGGTTCACTCGAGTGGATGAAATTCACACTACTTCCATTTAAATAGTGTGATACACACTATTCAAATTTGTTTTACTGTAACTTAGTACTGAATCCGACGAGAGTATCACACTATTCATGTGATCGAAGTGGTTGGTAATTAGTATGATGCACACTAATTGGCTCTCTGTGTAGAAAAATCTAATCACATCCGGATAAATCTATTTTTGGCTCCAACGCGACTTGGGATTAAGTTTTCGATCGCATTGCAACATTCACCAGTCACAACATGATGATGAAGGAGGACGATTGTTCGGTGAGAGCTCTCAATGGAGTTCTGCAAGAGAAGGGCGTGGATATTGGCGCAGAGCGTGCTAAAGATGGATCCCCTCTTCCGCATGATGTCGTCCAGACACGACCGCCATCACCTGTGATGGAAATAGGGCGAAACCCTGAGCGAGTCAGCATGGCAGAGCCCAAATCGGAGTTGGAAGCACCAACTGTGGATGAAGTTCAATGCAATGATGCATGTATCATGAAGATTGTGGACCTGCCTATTGTGGACCTGTATACGCCTTTCCCAGCATCCCTGCCGACAAAAGACGTCGCCAACTCTCCAGTTCCCCTCACTGCGCAACCGACAGCCGTCGAGAACGCTTCAGCTCTACCGTCACCCCCACCAAGTTCAGTCGTGCCTGCAATCGCGACAACGATCGAGTCTTCTCGTCCAACACAACAGGCATTACCAACCCACAGCCCCAATCGTGGCGACTCTGGGAAATTCTACACCGTCGACCTGACCCCCTCAACAGCATCCGCTCCGCTGGTCGCTCTCACATTTCACGACCGAATGCGCCGTTGGATTCAGCGCGCCCTCGTCAGCACTGGACAGGTAAACAACGGTATAGCATTCTCTCTCTCAACATTGACACAGGCAACACCGTCCACCGATGATTACTTTGTACAGCAAAAAGACCGCTTTCTTGGTCTGCTTCATCACTTGGAAGCAGTAAAATCGAGTCTTCAGCGCCATCGAACGGTGTTGAGTCAGTTTGCCGCGTCTGCATCCCAACTTGGCCTGGACGTTGGGTATTCCAATGGTGTCCATGACGAGCATCTGACGAATGGGTCGCAATAGTTGCGTCGTTCAAGGGAGCAATGTCGAAGACACGTTCGCGACAACTACGGTGCAACAGGACACCCAATTAACCGACGCCGTACACCGCCGTCGTTCTTGGTCGGCACCTCATGCGCGGGGAGGCGTAGGACGCGATGTTGACAGGCGCGCTTCGAATCTTGGGTAGTAGGATTCTGCACATGCAGTCGATTCAGGTAAGCGTTCGACGTGACGAAGATGCGATGCCCTGAATTTTCCTGACACGCCAGACCTTATTCATTCGGCGCGCCAACTTGAAGCTGGACGTGGACAGTTTTCAAAGACGACTGGACGCACGGAAAGGTGTAAGTTGATGGCATCGCCATCGACTATGGTGCGACTTACCGAAGTGTAGCGGGGTGACACGAGCGCCTTGGAAGCAAAGACAATGGAGGCGAGAATGGCAATGGACGATTGCTCGTTGCAACTCTATCGCGTGTTTGCTAAATACGAGGCCGAACGGCACTCGATCTTGTACACGGAGCTCGACATGGTTCGAACACTAGTGCTATCCCACGTCTTGAACTTCACGATCGATTGAATGACAGGTGCGTCAAGTACTCCACGCCATGTACGTCAAGAATGCGGCATTAACAGCAGTACGCACCGTTCCCATTTTGGTGAAATCCCCAAAGAACGAAGAAGAGGTGAGTCATGGAGGCTTGAAGCCACCATCCACCATTTTCCACCCTCACGATTAACTGGTGCAGCTGTTCGGCATCATGTGCGATCAAGGCATCAAAACGAAACAAGGCGGACCGAAAGGTGCATTGCGAAAAAACTCACTTCAGTTCACGACGGACAATATATAAACAACCAGTCGGTCTTACGGCATGACAATGCTTTTCAGTCTCTGTTCTGAAGATGTCGATGGAGAGGTTGCCGCCGTCGAGGTAGGTCGAGGTTTCGTCTTGGGCAGGGTACCAATGATATGCAGAGCTGACGTGTAGCCGTACACTTGGTTCGTCGGCAAGCTTGACAACATGCCCCAAGTGTCATAGATTGGTGACTTGGGGCTATCTGCTACGTCGTCGTTTTTAGGAAAGGAGCCGACAGTCCATAATCGAGAAACGTCTTGGCGCCGACGAGTCGAATCACTGAATGATCTTCGCGAAGGCTCGAGGCGGCGCGCACGCATGGCGGAGGTCAGCGAGCGTTGCATCGTCGTCTGAAGCGTCGTCGTTCGGAGGGAAATTCGAGTCTGCGCCAAAGCCGAATTCTCGTTTCTGGGCTGTTGAGAATGTTGGCAGTTGCAGTTGCAATCTTGGAGCCAATCCGATGCGAGGATCACAAATCGCAGCCAATCAAAAGCATCAACGTCTGCCACGCAACGTCGATTGGCTGGAAGAAGCACGAGGGTGTGCCCATAATATATACGTATGCGGATATCCGGATAACAAGTGCATTTATAGGTTTCTTATTCGGACAATGTCAAGGTGATAAAATCATCGACGAAAATACCAACAATTTCGAAATGTCGAAATTTGAAACGTGTTTCAGGGTGGCGCCGACCAAGTACCGTTGTCGTTCGACCTTTATGTAGGACGTGACATTGGCGACAACTTCCATTTCGCATTTTACAGTATCGTTGTGTCTCAGGGCCTTCACAGGCAAAAAACGCACACCGCGCGCATGCGGAGTGCATCCTCCATGTGAACATGTTTATGTGCCATCGAAATCAGTCCTAGGTTGTAAACTCACAACGTTAAAATGGCGACTTGGGCCACAAATCTCCGTTTTCAACGAGAAACAGTCACGTACGATCACTTGAGCGATTTTTGCAAAAAGAACCTTCCAGCCACGGGCGTCATGAACTTGGCATTTCATTTTGGTGTCACAACGCAAATTTGGAAGGCTCGTTTTGTATATCTTGCTATTTCGCATCGCATTCGGAGAAACGAAAAAGCAATTGATTGACAAAATGTTGCTCAGGAATGATTCAATTTGGACAACGAGGTTAAACTTGATTTGAGTATGATTCCTCCAAAGTTTCATCATAAACTTGATTTGAAAAGACCGAGCTGGTTTGATGAAAAAGGCTCCTTTGTGTCGACTTCCGAAGGATTTCAGTGCCAAGATGCAAAGCAGACCAGTTGACAAAGAGATGCATGCAGAAGCCACTCCATCCGACAACTTCAAATGTTGTATGAATGTCGTATTGGCGGCCAACACGGCCCTTGACAATTGCCCAAATCAATTCGATGGGCTGGAGATCGGAGTGGTGTGGTGGAGTAAATTCCACGTCGTGACCACGTTGACGGGCCAAAGATACAATATGCGGTTGAATCAATGACACTGTCGGCAGCAGAGTTGTCCACAATGTTGTTTTCAGATCCGATGTACGATAGTCCAATTTGTGCTCCTTGCATGCATTCTGTAGATCAACCTTTCGCATTGAGAAGCGTGGCGTGCCAACAGGGAGGCGCTTGTGGTATTTGGCATTGTCAAGTACAATTAGCGCACGTACAATCCCCTTCTCGTCGAGGATGTCGAGTAACCTCTTGAACCAGTTCTCGAAATACTCCGCATCGAACATTCCATGGTAGTCTTGTGTCT